AATATAACTTCAGTCAAATTCTTTGAAAAACAGCTGATTGGTTTGTAACCTTATATAGAGACCATATATGGCAAACTATTTACAATGTTACTCAAAAAGTTCACTGAATCTCCAAATATTTTAAAATATATTTGCTTTCCAAATTAATTGTTAGTTAAAATGCTAATGCTTCTATTGAGTGTGAATAATAATAACCAAGAAAGTAAATGCACATTGTAGCATGAACAACATCGAAAAATGTAAAATAGTAGATGCTGATGAGAAAGGGAGTGGCACTGAAGAAAGATCCAGATGATGCCCTGTTGGTTTGAAGAAAACAGCGGAGCCATCTAAGGGATTCAGAAATGGTATCATAACTTGTAGGGCCATTCCAGGTTCAGTCAGCAGCTTTCCAGACTGGTTTCTGCTACAAGAGTTCTGCCTGTGTGTGCACAAGTGAATTTTGAGTTACTGAAATGGCACAGCCTGAGGTTTCCAAATAAAAGAACCACAAAGGTGTGAGTGGATTTTGTGGGTTTCTTGCTGAGAATGTTATACTCATTAAGCTGAGAGGGTGGAGAAAAGGTGAAGCCTGATGGTGAAGGTCAGCCCCTGAGAGATTAAGATTGAAATTCAAAACATTAAATTGGAGGAGAGGGAAACAAACAAGGAGGAATGGTACTAGAGAGACCCATACCGTTTACCCAGGAAGACCTCTGTGCACTGCACGTAGTATAGAAGGATTCGAAGGGACACGAACCAAGGCTGAGAAAGAGTTTTATTTCATGGAGCTATTTAACAAGAAATTATGGAAACCATACATGGCTTATGAATATATAACAATGTTAAAACTTTCTGGTAACCAAAAGACTATTAGAGAAACAATGAAATATCCTGTGCTGCTTATCAAATTTACAAAGTGTAAAAAAATTATAATAGTCCGATAGGATTTGGGGAAATGGGATATAATATAATGCTGGTGGGGGAGTAAATTAGTACAGCCTTCATAGAAAGCAATTTGTCAAAGTATGGAAAAAACACATTGACATTCAAAGGCTATGTACTCATTTTAAAGAATCAAGTATGCATAAAAATTTAAAAATAAGGATGTTCAGCACTATTTTACTGACAATTAATATGAAAGCAACCTACAAGGCAAATCAATGCTGAGACAGGTTACATAAATTATGAAACAAAAGAATTTGTTGCCGCTATTAACGACTACATTTTAGACATGAACTTATTTAGCAATGTAGAAAATGTATTTTATATATAATGGGAAAACAGGTAGCAAAAATATTTGTAGCATAATGCTGATTTTCTTATGTGTATGTATACTATAAACAAAAAATTGTATGTATGCAGATACATGGAAACATGATTGTTAACTTTTTGCAATAATAGATTTATAAGCAATTTAAATTTTATTCTTTGTGTTTTCTGTTATTTTATAAATCCCTCTAAATTAACATGCATTATGACTAAATTCACAACTAGGGTTTTAAACTTGTATTTCTGTAATGAATAATCCCAGTCATTGCATGCAAACCTGTCTTTCATGTTTGTACCTGTGGAGTTTGAATGGGCTGATGTCTGGTTCTTTCTATCTCTGAAGTTTATGAAACACAAACGGTAATGCTGAGATGAGTACACATGGGCAGACACTAAGATGTTAAAAAAACCAATGATGTCATAGTCAGAAAGGATGAGTTTCAGAGAGAGGGAGCTGAGGTGTTTCTAGTGGAAATCCCCTGTGGACCCACTCCAGGGGCCCTTGGCCTGGGTGTGGTCACCTTAGCATCACTGCATTTTTAAAGTAATGATGTTTATGATGATGAATAAACAACAGGTGTAAGTACAAACACAGTGCTAACTCTGTGCCTGGTACTGCATGCTATACACACATTTCAATTTGTATCTAAAGAAAGTTATAGAAACTAAACAAAATGCCTAAGGTCTCATGATCAGTATCCACACTTCTTATGTCCCTTATGTGTCCTGGACTCTTTTCATTAAAATTCATCTTTTATTTTTTTTTAAATATAAGGGTTAATTTCACCATCGATTTTTCTCATTTTTTTTTTGAAGGAGCAAAGGCATTTCCCTTGTAACCTCAGAACTACTTACTAATTCACTAACCATGCCTGAATTCCCTTTGATATTTTAAACTATGAGATCACCTGATCATTTTGGAAAGATGAAGCCTACTTTAATAAATTATGCTTGAAAGTTACATCGAAACCATTTAGTATTTGGAAGCTTTTGATAACCAAAAAAAAACCAAAACCCAAGTTTCTCTTTGTTCTTGTTGATATTATGACGAAGGTGTAGGGAGAAATCTTTGTAAAAAATAAATTAAATTTGCCTTACAGCTTTTTGAATGCTTTACCAAACCTTTACCAAGTCTGATTAAAACATTATAGTAACTGTGGTCCCCCTGGGAAAAATTATTCTCAAGATTGTAGCTCATGTTCCCATGTGGCCATGGCTAGATTAAGGCTAGGATATAGGTTCCATAACCCATGTAACCAAAATGAGTAAAGGAACAGAAAATTTATCTTATGAGAATTGGGTTCTGTATAATGCACCGCAGAGCACAGAAAAAATGAAACTGCCTACTACTTAGGATAACAATCAGTTTTCCCTACATCCACTCAGGAGAGGAAAACAGGGTAACAGAGATGAGGGATTTAAATTTCCTATGAGGATAACTCCTAACAATGAGGCTGTTAAATAAGGGAATAGAATTTTGAAAAGAACTTACATATCTAAATTCTGACTGCACACGTAAGAAACATACAGATCTCTAGGAATCATCTTATTTTCTCAGGAGAAATAACACTTGCATAATTGTATTATGTTAATCTGAGGTCAACCTAATCTCTGGTGTAAACAAGTACAATAAATTTATTTTTAGCTAAGACTGCAATGCAACCACAGCTCTCCTCTCATACAGCAGCTCATGTAGCAAACGCTGCTACACTTTATAAATGTGGGAAAAGATTTCTAAGGAGATTAAAAATTTTTCTGTTCCCCAAAAGATTTTTAAGTAGAACACATCTATTCCTCTGTGTGTGTGCTGAAATATGATCCAGTCTAATGGCAGGTATGAGTGGATTAGCAACTCAAAACTTTCATTCATTTTTGGCTAATTTTCTCAGTGAAGTCAACAAAAACATGAATATGAATGCTGCTCCAGCATCAGCTCGCCTGAGAGGAGCTTTTCTTTGAACTAAAAGCTTGAGTAATTTTTTTTAGATGAATGCTGAGTCCTAAACTTTAGACATAATCTGTTCTCAAAATTCATGAGTTTTGCCAATTTATTCAATAAAATTAATATTTGGGAAGGATATTTTTTCTCTAAAACATAATGGTTCCCTATTATAGATGCAAAATTGCAGTTGGGGACAACTTAATAATTTATTTAAATGCAGTTTTATCATGTATAAGTTCTCATAAACTTGAATATTAAAATATTGAAATAATAAATATTAAAATGTTAAAGTTGTAAAAAAATTTCTTTTGTACTTTGGACTATCTTCTTCTCTAAACACTAACATATGAGGACATCCATATGGACTAAGACGCTTTCTGAGGAAGCTGTGAATAAAATTCATTCTGGGATGAAAAGACACCATGAACAAACTGAAAGTGGTGTTCCCTTTTACCTGCACAATAACTGACTCAAGTCATGCTCGATTAAAGCCTCTGAAAGAAAAAACGTGAGAACAACCCTCTTCCAGCAGGAGCTGATGTTGTCTTTCCCAGGACTCAGCTTACTTAAGAGTTCTGTCTGAATGTGTCTGCTGCCTACATGTGCTTACACAGCCTTGCTCTGTCACAGCACAGTTCTGATTCTGGAAAACTGTCTTGACTTGACAGTTCCCTTGAATACCGCCTCCCACAAGTTCTGAGCTAACATGGAGAAATGTTCTTCCCCAGCAAAACTGCCACATATGAATGTTCTTCTGAATCATGGTTGTAAAATAAACCCTGTGTTGCCAGCCAATCCACTGCTCTGAAAATTTTCATTTCCACTCCATCTACTTTCTATACTTGAGAGATGGCACAATTAAAGAGAATTAGCTCAAGTCAAGACCAAACAGCATATATGCATTTGATAATTTAAGTCTAGCATATCATAAAAGAAGAAAAAGAACTTTGAACAAAAGGGAAAGAAATGACCTAACCTTGAGGTGTGTTTTATTATCATCTCTTGCTTTACATTAGCATGTCTGGGGCACAACCGAACAGGTGTGTCCAGTATGAACACACCCAAGCATCCCTCAGGACTGTCCTTGAAATCAAGGAGGTTTAAAAAACAGAAGCTTTCTAACAGTGGCTATTTATATGGTCAGACTACTACAAACAGCACTTATATTTTGAATTTCTAATATGATGAACAGCTGCCCAAAGTACCACATATGTTTTTATTTTATAAAATGTAAGCTAGACTAGGCAGGCAAAAAAACAAAACACATTAAAAAAAGAAAATACATATATTCTCTGATAGTTATAAAATTCCACCAAAATTTTTATTTACCTAAACTTATACTTTTCCTTTCACGTTTGTTTGGATTCTTAAGCAGTCTCATACAAATATGCTAAACACAAAAAGGTGCAAAGCTGTTCATTTGCTGATAAATGTATTTAAACTAAACATACAAAAAAGTCATATACCTATTAGTGAAATAATCTGCCTCTCTTTCATGTTCTTCTTCTTCTTAATAAAAGAAATATATCTGCACAACCAAGCTAACTGTCCTAAAGAATCCAAAGTATACACTCTTGCCAGACTATTTAATTTCACTTTACCTAAATTACTGGTATTAGTTCAAGAGTAACAGAGAGAGAGAAGAGAGCAAACCTCAGTAAAAGTTATAAACCAAACAATATAATCAACAAGCAGCACTTATCTAAGCGATTTGGTTGTTCAAAGAATTAACATCAGCCCAGATCCACCCCTTTACATTTCCCCCCACAGTGGGCTCAGACCCTCCAATGTCCCTTCCTGTACTTACTGGGGATTTGCTGGATCCTGTGGACAACCACGAAAGCATCAGACAGCCCCACCTTCACCGGGTGATTGGTCGAACTTATCTGTGTGACCAGGACAGGAATCTACAGAAGAAAAATCAGATTGCTGTGTTAGATTTTAATTTCATCTTGTTTAATAAATAAAATCCGGCAATGGAGATGAAGAACTAGAGAGAGAGCAGTGAATATTAAGGAAGAAAGGCATACAGTAACTAAAATCACATCCATTTAGTGCTAACTGATGAGCTAAAGTGACAAGTTTCTGGTCCTACAGTTGGCTACTTGATGATGAAAGCAATAGATGCTCAGAGCATGTAACTGATGCCGGATAATCAAAACTTATCACACATACAGGCACACCAACACCATAAATGCAGTTAGTGCTGCCTATCACTTGAGGAATACAAATTCTTCTTGCACTGTTTTCATAAAGGACTTAATTATATAATTATTTTCATAGTTTTCTTTAAAAACCTTGTTTACAGTGGTTTTATAGAAGAAAATCTAGAGAAAGACAAATAAGTGCATTCCTAAAGATATACTTAACAATATTACTGGTCAATATTTACTATAATGTAGTGATATTTGGTGATTAATAGATGTGAAACTTCACCATTTTGGTTGAAACTCACATGGAAAACATGAATTATGATGGGTCACCTCCAAGTCACACTTCCATAATTTAAACCTCAATGAAAATTCAAATCTGAACATGACAGACATTTCTAATATTTTCAGTTTAGAGAATTAGGACGCATTGAGAATATACTAATCACAATACAGCAGTTACAAATGAAACAAATTAAAAGGATAACATTGATTACTAACTTTATTTTCTTTTATAGAAATAAAAATGGAATGAAATTATCTTCAATAAATAAAAGAACAAGAAACAAAAAGGAAAGAATAGATGCACCAAAAAATCTTTAAGCAGAATCAACAGGTTGTGGGCCATCTGTGGGTAATTCATTACAGAAAATATTAGATCAGACATTGTTGTATAAACCTTCACAAATGGTATAGCAATAAGATGGGGAAAAATAAACTGGAAAGAAGACATAATAAGGGCTGTACTGATTATTTTTGCCCATGACATCATGAAATTGAAAAGGGCTATTTTGTTGAAATTGACCAATTAAGAGGAAATTTAAATGTTTCATAATTTTCTGAAATGATCCTGAAATGCGTAAATGGAAGATGACATTTTCCCTTTATGCACTAAATCAGTCCTCTCTCAGACAATGTCATATGCCAATTCCACATTGGTGTGCCCAGTTCTTAACCATCATTAAAAATTATTCTGATACTTGGACAATAAGACAAAACAAACCTCAATTTTTGGTCCTAAAATTTCATTTACTAAATGAAACTCTGATATACTTATTCAGTATCAATATATGAATCCCTTTTCCAAATGGGCATTATACTTGGTTACCCAGGGCTATGCTCCATGAGAAGGAGCAATTTACATTTAAGACAGACTTACAGTTAAAGATGAAAAGACCAAAGAATGGTGAAAGCGCAGACAAAAATCCCCACTTGGGTTATATTTTGTATATCCTAATAAGACGAAGTTGTAATTCTTTTAAAATCGCATTATTGGGACACGCCTGCCGAGAAGTAAGTACAGAGGCTTTGTTCTGGCACGTGTCACTTGCTTCTGCCCTCCAGCATCTCTGACTGCAGTGTCTCTCTGCCAGGTGAGAAGTGTTTTGCCAGAAAACTCTATGGTAATAATTGTTATCTCTTTCTTTCCTTTTTATTTTCAAATCATTTTTATTCTTTCTTTTTGAAATTTAATTTATTGGGGTGACATTGTTTAATAAAATTATATAGGTTCCAGGTATACAATTCTATAACACATCATCTTGAGTGTTTATTACTATCAATTGAAAAATCCTATTACGTTGTTAAGAATATAATATTTTCCTACCGGAGTTTGTACTCCAGCTCACATGTCTTGGTTTCTGCTATAGCGCTTTTTCCTTATCTTTGGATTTTCCACTCTACCTGTCCTAGCTCTCTTCCTTATCATTTTGTCCCTTACCTAGCCATCTTTCATTTGATTTTGTTTTCTCCAGCTCTTTCCTTCCTTTCACTGCCTTCCTTTATATTCTGTCTTAAAGTCAAACCCTTTACTCTGGTGCTTTTCGTCTGTGGTGGGTTGACTGCAGTAGCAGCTTTTTGCTGCACCCACACTTTTTGTCTTTTCACTGGGTTGTTGTCTTCCACTCTAACTCTGGGCTCAGTAACACAGTAAAAAAAGATAAAACGTGAAGCAAAGAGGATGCTCAAGAAAGTGCTTGCACATTTGCACCTCCCTTCTCAGTTCCCTGCCACTGCCATGAGAATGTACCCTGCTGGTTTGCTGAAGATACATAAGAGACATGTGGAGAAATATTCTTCCAACAGAGATCATCCTTGACCAGCAAGCACTTAGACAATCTACCAGCTAACAGCTGACACACAAATGAGCCCAGGTAGCAGCATCGCAGAGTCCAACCCAGACTACTGGAACCACTGAGTTGATCCATAGGTATCTTGTGAGAAATAAGAAGTGTGGTTGTTTTAAACCACTGCATTTGGGGGTGATCTGTTGTGCAGCCTTGACTAAATTTCTTTTGGTATCTTATAGGAATTAAAAGGTTATCAATGGATCAGTCGTAAATAAAAGTGTCAAGGGAGATGGGAGGGGGCAGGGACAGGTATAGGGAGCATGTACTCCCTGACAGATATGGCAATGGCTTTAGATTTTATCCCAAGCCATATGGGGAAGATTTTAGAGGATTTTCAATAGAGGAAGGACATACCCTTACATCTGAAAAAGATCATACTAGCTACTGTGTGGTCAAGACTGTAGGGCCAAGGGGAAACAGAGAAACTAGTTAGAAGGGCATCTCAATTGTCCCAGAGAGATGGGTTGCTTGGATTATACTGGAGTGTAAGTGTAGGAGATGAGAACAGAGCAGAGAGATGAATTCTGAAGGTACTATCATCAAGACACACTGTACATTTAATAAGAAAAGTGAAAGAGTAGAGTCAACAATGCCACCAAGACTTTGGTCTTACTGGCAGGAAAAATGGAACTATGCTTTTCATCAGGCCTGCCGTGTTGCCCACCCTCAGTTTATTCACCGTGCATGCGGTAAGAACGGTGTGCCCCGGGGGTGCAGAGGAGCCTGTGCCGCTCTGAAGACGAGGACTGGTGCTCTGAGGCAGAGAAGACTAGGCGAAGAAAGGCTGGGAAGGGATGATAACTTTATGGCAAGAATACTGGATTCAAATGCTTTTCTTTAAAATTTTATAGAATTCATGAATAAGAGCTTAGGCTTTCCAAAACTGTGGTATTTTATCCTGATTAAATATTGAAATAAAAATGTATAAGAAGCTTTTGATTCCTCACATTTTCCTAGATGATACCCAGGCCTTTTATGAAATGATTACATATCAGATTTTAAAAAACTGCTTTTGTCAATTGAATTAAATAACTAACATTGTAAAAGATTAATGAGGAAGAGATACCTCCAGGCTCTCTCAAAGATTTCTTTCAGAAGTATGTCTGCCTGTCTCCATCTGATCCTGTCATTATCATTTCCACTCTGCCTTTTTAGCCTGTAATCTTTTTACTTCCAAATAACAAGGTGTGGGGTTGTTCTGAGAAAGGACCACTCATTCCCTCACTGCAGCCAAGTGAGTGAGCTGTGTAAGCACTCTGCGAGCAGGGCAGAGCTGTCTGCATGTCTCCACGTCACTCTGTGATTCGAGACCGTTAAGATGAATGAGTACTGTTCAAATCATGTTTGAAATGGGCTGCCTTTTGATTAATATCAACAAAGCATCTGTACCTGTGTATAGAAATAAACTGGTATTGCACACAATTAGCACAAGAACAGGTTTGCCATATTGTCACAGTCACCTTTTCTTTGGAGGACTCTGCATTTGTAAGGATTTAAGGTACACAAGCCAGAGAAGCCACCACCAAGGATGACGTCCAAGTATGAAAACTCTAAAAACTTTGCTTATGAGAAGCTCGTTTTTCTCCTTTCTACAAGTTTATATTCATCCGGAAAATGCTTCTCTTAAGTTAGTTCCTTGGGATGTTAGGGAACCAATCAGAAATTATATAAACTCTTTACTGCATAAGCTTTTTTTTTTTAATGTAGCCTCATGACTTTCACGTACTCATGATAGTTTCCTTTCACAATTAAAGCAAAGCCAGATTTTTGCTTGGCCTCTGTATGATTTGTATTGAATCATATATTTCCGAGAATGAGTTTCACAATATATTCACCCACAAGATATATATAGAAAAGAGGCATTGATGTCAGTTAAAATGTGCTTGCAGTTTGGCTTACAGAAACCTTTATAAATTATTTTTTAGATATTTTAATTTTTATGTCATTTTAAAAGATATAGATATATTTATTATTTAAGTAATCATAACTTTTCCTGCAAATGATACAGTGAACCAAATTAAGTATAGGTGCAGAAGGAGTTGCAATAACTAGACACCATTAAGGCAGGAAAGATTAGGAGTAAGCAAAGGTAGGGCATAGCACATTGGCCTTCAGAGGGAGATCCAAAGTCAAGAGCTTGCTCCCTTTTCTACACTGTGGTATCATTCACCAGGATACAAGTGCCCAATGCAATGCCTAAAATGTGAACTTCTATGTCCATCTCTAAAACAGGGAGGTAACAGCAGCTGCTTCAGTCAGAGGTAATGGGGTTTTATTTTCCTGTCTGTTCTGCCCTGCAAACTTTGCCAAGGCATTCTTTTTCTTTCCCATTATGTACCCAGCTAGCTGTCTAATAAGTGGCACAACATATCAGCAAGGGCTTGATTGTGTAGTATGTGTGCCAATGTATGAATCATATGTCTATCAGAAAGAAACTGGAAAGAATTACTCTAAACTCACTCTGGTTCTCTCACTATTTTTTCCCAATCACTTATCAACAATATGGTGTTTGATAATAAATATATTAACACAAAGCTTAGTATTTGACCCATTCTCACCTGCATTCAATCCTTAACTTCTTTCCTCACCTTCCTTAATGTCTGATCTGGCTTCTGTGTAACTCAGTAG